ATATACTACTAAAACTCAAAAGTAACTAGAGCCACTATTTAGAACTCAGATCAATATAATTTTTTTTCCGGGGAGAAGTATTTTTTAACTGACATTATTTAGGATGGTAGTACAAGGTGGTAATAAAAAGCAAACTGACTTTTAGTCATTTTTGTTTTGGTTCTTAAATTTTCTGCAGTCGATGCACTTGTCTTGCCCATACCTGAGGCAGCCTGTCATCCCACCCTTGGTAGGCCACTGCTAGCAATACTGGGATCCAACTCGACCTGGACACCGTGAACCAGAGGGGAGTGACAGGGGCTGCCCCTTGGGAGGCATTCATGTTCTACATCTGTAATTCAAAAGACATTCTCAGGTATTACCTTCTGTAGAAGCTTCCCTCTGACATTCTCTCCCCACTTGAATCTGGATCAAATATTTGTCCTTTAAATTCCAAGAGCACCCTGTGCCTATTCTGTCACTGACCTCACATGGTATCATAATGATATGTTTCCTCCACCTCTAGACCGAGCACCCTGATGGCAAAGACCTGGTCTTGGTGATCAATTAGTGCTCAATGTTCTGGCCACATCGGAGCATGCCTAATATGGCTATCCCAAAGTGGAGTGGCTTTGGGAAGTGGCTGGTAGTACACAGGAGGTGTTGTTGAGCTGCCCCAGGATGTCATGGCCCCTCAAGGTGGCGGGGTGGCGGAGGAGCGCCTTGCAACTAAGATTCTTTTATTCTCTGTGTTAGTTCAAGGAATGCCTTACCCATGTCCCTAGCCCTAATTTGCAGATGAGGAAATTGAAGCTCACAGAGGTCAGGGGAATTGCCTGCACTTACAGAGTGAGTCATTGGCCAAGCCTAGAGGAGAGCACACATGTCCTGACCTCTTGGCCAGGACACTGGCCACAGCCCCGGTCAACGGTGGTGCCGGCAGCTCTGATCGCGTGTCTTGCCAGTGCGTGCATTTAGCCACCAGGGGGAGCCAGATAGCCGTTCATGGGGAAGCTAGGCACAGGCTTAGGGATTGGAGTGAATGTTGCTTTGAGGGCCCCCAGAGGGACACCAGGGGGACACACACCAGTGGAGCTGGGGAGTCCTGGTAAAGAAAGGGTGTATGTGTGGGGGGAGTGTTGTAAGAGAGCTGGAGTTGAGGAGCGTTGGCGGCTGGGATGGAGGGAGGAGGAGGGAAGGGCATTTTGTTGTCTCCCTCTGGCCGGGCCTTGTCTGGCCCTGTTGGGGAAAGGGCAGAGCTGGGAAAAGGGAGGGCTCTCCAGAGGGGAGGGCCCCTGCCTCCACCTCCGTTTTCCTCGGCCTCACTCAGGGGCCGGGACAGGCCGGACATTCCTAAGTCTCCAGCAGGGAAACCAGGAAATGAGACCAGGAGGCCAGCCTCCTGCCGGCTCTTCCAAAGCCTGCCCTGCCCCAGGACTTCCTGAAAGAGCCCTGCTGCGTCTGGGAGCCACGATCCAGGCTCCCAAAGGCTGCTCCCTCCTGGAACTTCCCCTGCACTCTTGCCTCCTTCCCCCCCAGCTCCTCCCTCCCAGGCCATGGGATCAGGCCCTACCCTGCATGGCACACCTGTAAAAGAAATCGCTATCCACAGAGGGCCAGGTCAGAGTCATGGCCTGTCCTCCTAAACCTGGCTCTCTCCCAGGTTCCCTCTCTAGTGAATGCCACCAGTATCTTTCCAGTTCTCTGACCTGGAAAGCTTGGCATCATCTAGACACCTCCTCCTTTTTCATTCCCCATGTCCAATCCATCTTTGTACCTCCTCCGTTTCCAGTACTCACTGGGCCAAGTGCCCTCCATCTGTCACCGGGATTCGTGTTCCTGTCTGGATTCCTCACTGTCACTCGTCTCCCCCTTCCCCAATCCTTTCCAGGTGGTAATCCTGATAACCTTTTCAAATTGTTAATGTGACCATGTCGCCCCCCTGCTAAAACCTTTCAATACCCTTCCAGTGCTCTTGTAATAAAGATCAAACTCTTAGCATGGCCCACGGGGCCTGTGTGGTCTGGTTCGTCCTACCTGTCTGGTACCATGCTCCCTCTTATGCTCTAGGTTCCAGCTACACTGGCCATGGTCACCACAGGGCCTTTGCACGTGCTGTTTCCCCACCCCTCTGCCTTAACTCCTACTCCTTCAGTTCTTGGCTCCAGCATTGACTTCTCAGCATTGCTTTCTCATTGTCCCTGAGAGAGGGATCAATACCTTCTTTGATCTCCCTGGCTAGGTCAGATTCCTTATTATTCATTCTCCTAACACCATATACTTCTCCTTCATTGTTCACTATTTGTCACAGTGGTACTTATACATTTGTTTGTATTATTATTTAATTATTAATAAAGCTCTGTGAGGGTAAGGACCATGTCAATTTTTGCTCATTTGAAAATCTCCAGCTTCTCTGTGCCTGGCACATAGTAGATGCTCAATAAATGTTTGTTGATTGAATAAGTAAATTTGTGTTACACACCCCCCTCCATCTCTATCTCCCAAGCCTAGGCCTCTATTATCCCTTATCTGAACCTCAGCAGTAACTTCTTGATTTGTCATCTCCCAGTTTATAATTAAGTCCCTAACAGTCAGTTTCCCAGAGAGGTCTAATAAAACTGCCAATCTGATCACAGCACCACCTCTACCCCCTGTTTCATTGCCGTCAGTGGCTTCCCATCGCCCTTGGAATAAAATCCAGTCTCCTGACCACAGCCTTCCAAGGCCTTGCATGGTCTGGCTCACCTCATGCCAAGCTCCACCTCCTCAACGGACCTTTCTTGACTCAACAAATATCAACTGCCTGTTCTGCCAGGCACTGGGGTGAGCAAAAACAGACTCCTTCAGATCTGCTTACAGTCCTCCTTCCCAGGGAGAGCCTTCGCACACGGTTTCCCCCTCGTCTGGAAAGTGCTTGTCCCTCTCCTCCTTTGTGTATCTTCCTGACTTGGCCCAGTCAACACCCGCTCACTCATCGGATCTCAGATTAAACACCATGCCCTTACTCAAGGGCATCTTGCCAGACCCCAAACCTAGGTCAGGTCCCCCTGCCATATGCTCTCATTGCTCCCTGTATCCGTCTTCATAGCACTTACCACATTTTCTATTTTTACATTTGTTTGTGCGGTTATCTGATTAATACCCATCTTCCCTACCAGGAAGCTCCAGGAGCTCGAGTGCTGGTTTTTGCTTACCCTCTTGTACCTTAGCTTGTGTCCCACAGGCAATTTATTGATTGAATAAATGAATGAGTAAATGACTCCCCCAGAATCGTATTCAGAGGGTACTGCCCTTCAGGGAAATGTTGACACTTCTGCCTCTGTGTGAACATGAGCTGGGGACAGGGACGGGGTGCACAACAGAGCTCTTGTCAAGGAGAGGGCTGGGAGCTGGGAGTCCCTTCCTGTCCCTCCTCATCCCAACATGCTGTGACTTGGCTCCTGCCCACCTCTCCAACCCCACCTAACTTCTCTCCCTGTTGTTCCCGAAGCCCCAACAACACTGCTGCTGCTCTGTTCCTCTGGGGCCTCCTGCATGGACCCCCCCACCTGCAACTCCTCTTCCTGCATTTTTTTCACAGGGCTGACGCCTCCTCATCCTTCAGGTCAAGTTTAAATGCTGCTTCTTCAGCGGACACGTTCCCTGAGTATTCACCCCCCATTATTGCCCATCCTTTTGCCCAGTTCATTTCCTTCCTAAAATTGTATCTCACGATGGAAATGCTGTTACATATTTATTGTCTATGTCCTCATATGAGTAAGAAGCTTTTGGCCACATGCAACAGAAAATCCAACTCACGTTGGCTTAAACAATAAGGAAAGTAGAGATAGGACTAATTTTAGGCTTGGTCAGTTCAGTGGTGTTCTCAAGGATCTAGGTTCTTCCCATCTCCCTGCTCTGCCATCCTCGAGGTTGGCTTTGCCCTCAGGTTGGTTAGCAGGATGGATGGATGCAGCAACTCCAAGCATCACAGTTGGACTGCATATCATATAAGCAGGATCTTCTCAATACGTTATTAGTTAACTATTGCAGTGTGACAAATTATCATAAAACTTAGCAATTGAAAACATGTTTTATCTCACAGTTTCTGAGTGTTAGAAACCCAGGCATGGCTTAGCTGGTTGGTTCTAGCTCAGGGCCTCTCATGAGGTGACAGTGAAGCTGATGGCCAGGACCGAAGTCATCTGAAGGCTAGGCTTGATGGGGGCTGGAGGATCTGCGTCCAAGCGTGGGCTTCTCCCTAAAGCAGCAGCCGCGTTCCTCCACAGTGAGTGACCCGACAGCGAGAGAGCAATCAAGAACAAGCCGCAGTGTTTCTCACACCTCATCTTGCACGTGACGCACCATCACTTCTGCCATATTCTCTTGGCCACTCAGCCCAATGCTGGTACAACACGGAAAGGGACTACACAAGGGTGTGACTACAAGGAGGTAGGGGACATCAATGGGAGGTCATTTTAGAGGCTGGCTACCACATCGCTGCTTTTCAAAGTGAGGAAGCCTTTCCTCGAAGCCCCCAGCAGGTGTCTCTTCATGCCACGTGCCCCTGCCCAAACGAATCGCTCATGAGGTGCTTGGGACCATTATTTTTGGCTCATCACAATCATGATTCACCCCTGGGGCTGGGCTCCACCTCCACTGAAGCACAGGGTGGCATCTAGGAGGAAGACGGCTACCTGAACAAATCAGGATTCTGTTTGGAATGAGGAAGGGGCGATGGGAATGACTGCTGAGAGTCTGCGATGCTCACACACTGGACCATAAACTCTGCAAGGACAGAGGTTGCGTTTTTTCCTACTATTGCATCCCCAGTGTGTAGCCCACTGTCTGGTACAGAGTTAAAGCAATGATATCTGTTGAATGAATAAATGAATAAATTCATTTGACCATAGGGCAGGGGGTCCAGAACTGGTCCCCCAGGTGGGGTAAATATCCCTAGGCCCTAGGATCCTTCAGTTCTTCTTAGAACTCAGGTGGCCACATGCTCCCACCTCCACCACTAGCTCCAAGAACAGACAGGATTGGCAGAATTATTTTCACTTTATTTCTGGAGACATTTGATCAGATGCAATAACACTGATTCTAGGCGAGGGCGAGGGGATGGGTACCCCTGAAGTAACCAGTATCCTGTGGCCCAAGGTGCCCCCCAGCCCCAGACCTGGGTTCCCCCTGTTACAGTTAAATAGAGAGAGTTAGATCTCCCCAGGGAGCCTTGAGGGGAGGGTCTGCCCCCTGCACCCACCCTCTCCACACAGAGGAGTCTGAGCACAAGCTATTTACAGTATTCACATCCACTGTACCCCACCAAACCAAGGCAAATGCTACAGGCGGCCCTTCCCCACGGGAGGAGGCCAGAGAGGCTGTGAGTGTATGTGTGTGTGTGGGGGAGAGGGGATGTCCACGCATGTGAGCACACGAACGCACTGAGGGGCAGGGTCTGGCTCCAGCCAAAGAGACATCAGTCTATAAGGTGCAGATTAAAAACAACAGAGAGGACCCACCCCCAGGGGCCCAGGCCACTTCCATCTTTGTTCTTTCTCTTTCTCCTCCAGACATCCTGGTAGATGATACAGAGGAGCTCTCACAGCTGTGCCCAGATCCAAGGCAACCCCTCTTAAAGGACTTCTGGGGAAAAAGGGGAAGGGGAAACAGTCAGGGCAAACCATGCCCCCAAGCCCAGATGGCTGGAGGTCTTCAGGGTGGAGCAGGAGAGGGCCTCTGGCAGAGCTAGAAGAAGAGAGGGCAGGGCTGGAGAGTCCAGGGAGAGCTGCTGGGAGGGATGGGTGGGGTCTGGGAAGCAGTGGCCCTACCTGTGACCTGTGGGGGCTGCACCACAGCTTTCTTGAGGAAGGCTTCTGCTTCTGCAAAGGGCAGGAGTGCCTCTGGTGTTCGGCCCAGACTCTTGTCCCCAGAGGGTCCCTTGGGGGAGAAGCCATTCTCCTGGTGTGCTGGGAGAGGCTGTAGGCCGTTCACCAGGGACCCTGGCAACTCCTTGCTTGGCAAGCTGTGGATGCAGGGGCCAAGGCTCAGCACCTCGCCTCCCGGTAAGGCCCAGGCCACCCTACAGCTCCAGCAGGAGCCCGCCTCCCCGCTAGGGGTCCCTAGGATTGGAAGCTGGTACCTCCACTGCGGCTCCTGAAGAGCCGGCTCCTCTTTCTGCACTACCTCTTTCTGCAGCTCTGAGGGCCGAGCCTCCCCGGCTTTCGCAGGGTCTAGCACATGGAAGGAATGGCCGTCAGGCAGGGGCCGGCGAGAGGGGACAGGCTGGACGTGAGGGTGGCGAAGGGGATGGAGACTGAGGGGATGAGGGCTTTACCTGGGCTGGAATTGTTGGCATCGGCCTCCTTTCTATCCTGCTTCTGCTTCGAAGAGGAAGAGCAGTCAGGCTCCAGGGATACGTGGACCCAGCCGACAATGGCACTGACTCCTCTCCCCAGCCGGCCCCTGAGCGGCCTCCTCACAGAACCCCGGCCTCCTTTCCCCGCCCCAGCCCCAGTCCCACCACTGCCTGGGACCCTGACCTTGGTTTCCGCAACTTCCGACTTCCGGGTCCTCTTCATTATCTCCTCCAGACGCTGTGTGGAGGCCCCATCAGTAAGGCTCGCGCCCCACTTCATCCTAAACCTCCCACCAGCCAGCCCCGTCTTGGAGTCTCCAGGCCCTCCGAGTTCATACCCACCCTTTCTCCGCTAGGATCCAGAACCTGCCCCAGCTCCTCCCGGAGCCCAAGGCCCCGCCCACTGGCCCCGCCTCCATTAGCCCGAGGAACTGGAGCCCCGCCCACCCGCGCCAGGCCCCACCCACCTGTCTGCGCTCCTGCCGCTCCTGCTTCTCCCGCTGGAAGTGCTTTTCCCGCTCCAGGCGCTGCCGCTCCGCTTCTTCCCGCGACCGAGCTTCAGCCTCCTCTTTCTGTCAAAGACTCCCGTCAGCGCCAGGGCCCGCGACGCCAGCCTCCCTCCCAGCCAGAGGCACCCGCGCCCGGCCGGCTCACGCCCGTCCGCCGGGGCACCTGCTTCTGCAGCCGCTCCTGCTCCTCCTGCTCGGCCTGCGCCTTCTCTCGCGCCTCCTGCTCCTCCCGCCTCCGGGCCTCGGCCTCCCGCTCCGCCCGGGCCTCGGCCTCCCGCGCCAGCTGCTCCTCTCGCATTCGCCTGGGTGACAGAGGAAACTCAGCTCAAGCTCAGTCTCGCGCTTCCCCTCCACCCACCAAAAGGGCCCCCTCAGTCCCCAAGGGCGCGCTCACTTGTCCCTTTCTGCCTGCAGCCTCCGCTCCTGTTCCTCGCGCTCCCGCTGCTCCCGGGCCTGGCGCCGCTTCTCAGCCAGGAGCCGAGTAGCTTCTTCTCGGTCTGTGGTGCCGGCCATTGGTTTGCTAGGGGTCACCGGGGGAGCAGGGGCTGGGGGTGAGGTCAAGAGAGCAATGTCTGGAGGGGGATCCAGGACCAGGAGTCAGCACACACCCACACAGGCACCTCCACCACCCCTGCATGCCCCTCACTTTTCTGGACCCCGGGGTGACCCATCCTGGGCCTGGACCTCCCGAAGGCAGGTCTCTTCTTGTCTCCTGACACCCAGTCCCCAGGCATCGCTGTTGGCTCACACCCCTGACTACCTCCCACAACAGCCAGAGCTGGCTGCTCGCCCCCTGCCCACCCCTCTCTTCAGACCCACCTGCAGGGCTCTCCGCTGTGGGCGGCTCCTTCTGGGACAGGGCTGGGGTGGGTGAGGGCACAGGCGAGGGCGCTGGTGAGGCTGGGGCTGCAGGCTCCCTCTCATCGCTGGCCTTGCTCCTGCTGTGGTTCTTGTCCTCAGGCCCTGCTGCGCTCGGGCTCTCCTTGGCTTCGTCCTTCCTGCGGCCCCGCCCCTTGGGTGCTGCCGTGGTGCCTCGCGGGGATGGTGGTTTTGGAGGCAGAGCATGGCCTGGCCCTGGGCTGGGGCAGGGGGAGGCAGGCCTATGCCAGGACGTGGAGGGAGAGGATGGCCGGGCCTTGGATTTGGGGCTGAGAGAAAAGGGAACAGTTAGGCCTGGATGCACGTGCGCGGCCCCAAGACAGAGACACAGACACACACACACACACACACACACACACACACACACACACACACGTGCTCTGCGCATGTCACTTCCTCAGGGAAGTGTATCCTCCCCCCCAGGCTAGGTCAGCACCCCTCTATATGCTCCCACAAAACCATATCATTTCCTTTTAGATCATATATCCCAGTTTGCAATTACATATTCATGAGATTTTTTGATTAATGTCCCCTCCCCCATTAGCCTGTAAGCTTTTTTTTTTCTTTTTCTTTTTACACTCTCAAAGATGAATGCTCCAATAGGGAACAGTCCTTAAGCTTAATAAGAGCAAAAACTGGGCCCGGTTTAGCCCAAAGTGTCCTCAGCACCTCGAACACTACCTGGCAGGTCCATTCATTCAGTAGGTATTTACTCAGTGCTTACCAGGTGCCAGGCACCGTTTTAGGGACTGGGGCACTTCAGTAATCCAAACGGTCAAAAAACGAAACAAAACAAACCCCACAGGCAGGCGTGGTGGCTCACGCCTGTAATCCTAGCACTCTGGGAGACCGAGGCGGGAGGATCGCACGAAGTCAGGAGTTTGAGACCAGCCTGAGCAAGAGCGAGACCCTGTCTCTACTAAAAATAGAAAGAAATTAGTTGGACAACTAAAAATATATAGGAAAAAATTAGCCGGGCATTATGGCTTGCGCCTGTAGTCCCAGCCACTCGGGAGGCTGAGGCAGTAGGATCGCTTGAGCCCAGGAGTTTGAGCTTGCTGTGAGCTAGGCTGACGCCACGGCATTCTAGCCGGGGTGATAGAGTGAGACTCTGTCTCAAAAAAACAAACAAATCCCACACACACAAAAAGGAAAAAAGAAAAAGTGCCCTCGAGGAACTTTCATTCTAGGGATGGGTGCCCAACAGATGTTTGTGAATAAATGAACGAATGAATGAATGAACGAATGAATGAATGGCCTGGTGAGGCGCAGTCCCCTGAACGCCCACCTGAGCTCAGAGGCGGCGCCGGCCGAGAGGCGGGGGCGCGGGGAGGCGGGCAGCGACTGGCGCTTCTTGAGGCTGCGCTCCCGGGCTAAGGCGCTCTTCTCCTTCTCGTTTTCCCGCTCCTTGTCCTTCTTCTCCTTTTTCTGCACCTGGCAGGGAGGGAGGGACGGGAGCCGGGACGGGGAGCAGAGGTCAGCGGCGCCAGCGCTCCGGGGGCCTGGGCTGCCTGTCCCCACCCGCGCGGCCACTCACCGGCGAGGCCTCCGGCCGGCGGCGGACAGGAGCGGGACTGCCCCCAGCGCTGGGCTTGCGGCGCTCCCCGCCGGGGGCGCAGCGGTGCGCACTTCGCGGGGCGCTGCACGGCGGCGTCAGGGGGCTGGCAGAGGCCGAGCGTGGGCACACGGGCACAGCTGCAGAGGGATGAGTGCGGTTGGGGTGCGGCCCAGGCGTCAGGCTCGCCCCTGCCCGGCCGCGCGTGTGGGCTCTCCCAGAGTCGCCGCCCCTACCCTGGTCCCGGCCGTTTCGGGGCAGTGTGACCGCGCTGCGACTCCGAGCCAGGAAGGAGAGGGTGGGCGTCATCAGACGATCCACGATGCTGCTCTCCCATGCGCTCAGCTGCAGGCTGCGATCTAGGGGAAGAACGCCAGGCAAGCGGGTCACCGCAGGAGGCAGGCAGAGGCATAAGGGCAGAGACCAGGAACCATGCCCAAGGAGTCTCACCCAGGAGGACTCTTCCCCCACAATCAGATGCCGGACACACTTGTTCTCCCTGAGATCTGCACCTCCACTGCAGACCCAAGCAACAAGACACTTCCCAGGGCAACATCGTGCATCGCTTGAGGGTCCCCTCCTACCACTCTCCCCAGGTGAAAGGGCTCTGAACTGTGTGTATAGGAAGGAGCCATCCAGGATCAGTGGAAGATCCACCCAATTGCCCTCTCCCATGGCCCAGCGTGGGGCCCTGCCCTTCCTGCTTTCAGAGGCTGGCCTGAGGGAGGCATGCTCCCATGGATTTGGGACAGTGAGGGTCCTGGTGCTCCTATGACCCAGCTTTTATGAGGCCTGTGCCAGGGAGAGGTTGCTAGGGGGCCTGCCTGCCCTAGGCCACCCTGCACTGTCCTCTCAGCTGCTGGGTTATTTTTAAGCCTCAGTCAGGTGGGGCTGGTGCAGCAGCTGATTTGGTTTGGTTGCTAGGCAACAGAGCAACCAAACAAAAGCTAGAGAAACTTATAAATAACTCCTTCCATGGCTCCTTCACATGTGAGTACCAGGGCATGGTGGGAATGCAGGGGCTGTGCCACCCTGGTTGGCCACAACTCTGGAACCAGCCAAGGCCAAGGCTGGGGCTCTGAAGGCAGAAAGGGCAGGATTACATGGGCCCTCCAGGGTGGAGCCAGAATAAGCACCCAGGCCAGTCTGGTACATGGCGACAATGCCACCTGCCTAAGGTTGGCCCAGGCCAGCTGGCTGTGGTTGGAGATAGGCTGTCTGCCCATTCCCACCCCCAGTCGCCACCCCCAATTTGCTCTTGAAGCCCCAGTTAGGCTTTCAGCATGCTCAGGCATTGTCCTTTGTCTCTGTTCTTCTCTCCTACACGGCACAACTCTGTCCTCAGGGTCCAGACCCAAATGCCGGCTCCCCCAAGGGGCACAGAGCCCCAGAAAGGGTAGAGTAGGGATGGGGACCTGGAGTATGTGAGGGCTCCAGGGACTTGGTGTTCTTGCTGAGGAGGAGGCTTGGTGGGGGCTACAGGGGGCTCTGGAGGGGGAAGGGCTGGGCCTTCTCTTACTTCTACTGGGGGAGTTCCAGAGCGTGGCAGAGGACTTTGAGAGCCGCTTGTTGATTATAGAGTCCACGTGTTTGGGCAGGTTTACTGCCGACACGGAGCACCTGCTCCCACCTGGAGGGGAAAAGACACGGCATTAGGGCCGGGCCAGACAGGAGCCAGGGGGGGCACTGAGGCCTTCCATGCAGGATGCTCCGAGGGCAGCGTGGGAGAGGGAGGAGTGGGCAGGCTAGGATGAGGACGGGGAGGCAGACTTGGCCCTGGGGGAGGGAGGGTTGGGGTAGGTGACCTGGGTTGGGGGAGCCGACGGAGAAGGAACAGAGGGAAGAGATGAGTAAAACTAGAAAAACTACAGCCTTCCTGGTCTGACCAAAGGAAGCCATTCCCTAGGGCTGGCTGCTGCAACCCCTCCTCCCCACCACCCAGCGTTGGCACTTGCTGACACTGCCCAGCCAAGACAATATGGATACAACACCCACGTACTGGAAAGATGCAAAGACGTTCCTAAACCAAAGAACCTACATAGTCACAGTCACTAGCACAAATCCACATATTCATCCAGACATACAAAGACAAAGACATGCAAACACAGGCATATAGAGTGGCAGATACTTAAGCATGCACACATGTGTGCAGACATGCACAGATATAGAAACACAAACACTAACAAACCTGGGATGCACACAAGGCACAGACACATCGAAGCAACCTAATCTTGATATTTGTAACAGCTAACATTTGCTGATGCTTACCGTGTGCTAGGCACTGTGCTGGGCACCACACACATGTTACCTCATTTGATCTTCCAAACATCTACCTACAACCTCGGAGGCAAGTAGTATTGTCATCCCCATTTTACAGATGAAGAAAGGGTGATGTCGAGAAGTTAAAGCTCAAGCCCTGGTCAAGCGCCAGAGCTGGAACCCAAGTCTGTCTGACTCGGGGAGCCTCCCTGAAGTACACAAGCCACAAACACACCAAGGCAAACACATTAGGACACACAATGCACAGATTCATGAGCACATATACCAAAAGAGACACAGCTGGAAATACTGAACCTTGCCATTGCATAGACATCCAAACACAGTGGTATATACATGCCAGCAAAGAATCAGACCAAAATCCATGATGGCCCTATGTGAAGAAAACTCAGAGACAAAAATCTACCTTCCAAGACAAGCAGTGACAGTTTTCTTTAAATATCCAGTGTCTGCTGGGCATTAAAATTCTCTTTTACATATCATCAACTAATAATAATTGACAGAGCAAAGAGGGCTAATCATAAAATGACAGAGGTTTGAAGAGAAAACCAAATGTAGAGAATCCATCTCTGATTTGATAGTGGAAGTCCTAGGGAAGGGACAATTTGGTTTACAGACCATTCTAGAAGACTCAAGTCGAAGCAAGGCACACCTGCTGCCTGGAGCTGTCAGCTCCTGTTCCCTTCCCCCACTTGTCAGATCTCACCCCCGCCTACCCACCCACCAGCCCATCCAGTCCACTCACTGGTCTTATGGCCCGGGGAGCTGTGGTGCAGGGCCCCTGCCCAGGACCAGCGCTGCTGCCGGATTTCAGCCCATGTCTTCTTCACTGACCGTTGGATGGCTGCTTCATAGCGCTCCTGGGGGGAGGTGGGGACAGGAGAGAGGTCTGGGTTCAGAACATGCATCATACCTGGGATAGGGCTCCTTCTCCCTCCTATGACAATGCCTCCTCCCCTCCTTCCCCGTCCCCTTCCCGGAAGCTTTTCCTGACTCATTGTAGGTAACCAAGGTTACCGAATCCTTGCTATGATTAAGGACCATGTGCAATAGATCCCTTTTGACTTGTTCTTGGGAAGTTTTTCACTGTTCTTGAGTCATTTCCTGGGTGTATGAGTTGCTTTTCTGAGGATGGGCTTGGACACCCCCTGCCTAAGACTCCCGGGCAAGGCCATGTCCTGCTGGCACTAAGGGTTCTGACCTTGGAGCTGTGCTTTCCATTCAGCCTGAAGGCTCCAGGTAGGGCCAAGCCACCATCTCCTTCATTTCCTCACCAGTGCTCAAGCCAGGGTTTTACCCATGTCCTGCTGGCACTAAGGGTTCTGACCTTGGAGCTGTGCTTTCCATTCAGCCTGAAGGCTCCAGGTAGGGCCAAGCCACCATCTCCTTCATTTCCTCACCAGTGCTCAAGCCAGGGTTTTACCCATGTGACGGAGCTAGGCACACTCACACAGACACATACGTGCATACATACAAACACAGACACTCGGGGCGCGTACACAATTATAGGTACCGACAGCGCACAGTCACAGGGGCCTACAGACACACACATGGAAGCAAATGTGTCTGCATTTCACAGACGCCCAAACGCTGTAACACAGGGACACAAGTGTAGATGTGAATGCAGATAGGACCACATGGGCATGATAACACAGAGGCATGAACGCAGGTGTGCATACACACTTCACCAGCACACAGACGTCTGGGTACACGGTACACAGATCCACTCAGATCCATCCCGCACCTTGTTTTTTTCCAGCTTCTGCCGCTGCCGCTCCTCCAGGGCTGCGCGGCGTTGCTCGGCTTTAAGCCGCTGCTCCTCCAGCCGCCGCCTTCGCTCCTGGAGCTGCTTCTCCCGCAGCGCCTTGGCCTTCTCTTCCTTCTCCAGCCACACCGCCTTCTTGGCGGCTATGGGAAAAGGAGCCCAGTGTGTGAAGGGTTCTGCATGGCCTCCAAGTGGCCACTCCTGTTTACCCCAGCCCTGCGTGGGTCTTTCTCCTGCCTGCTTAGGTGGAGCCTCCGCTCTCAGACACCCCCTTTAAACTGAAGGGCTTCCTGAAGACAGGCCTCAGACCTCGAGAGGCTATTCTCCCCCACTGACCTCATGGTCTCTCAGGACTGAAAGAGAAATGACTGCTTTAGTGCAAAATCCCCATCTGAGTTGGGGGGCTACTGGACAGATGTCTACATACTGTGATTAAGAACATGGGATCTGGGGTGAGATGATGCCTCTGGGTCTGAATAGTAGCTATTCCACTGGCTGTGTGCTTAGGCAAATGATAAATGATTAAATCATTTCTTTTTTTTGGGGGGGGAGACAGAGTCTTGCTCTGTCACCCAGGCTAGAATGCCATGGCATCAGCCTAGCTCACAGCAACCTCAAATTCCTGGGCTCAAGCGATCCTCCTGCCTCAGCCTCCTGAGTAGCTCAGACTACAGGTGCACACCACCACGCCTGGCTAATTTTTTCTATTTTTAGTAGAGACGGGGTCTCACTCTTGCTCAGGCTGGTCTTGAACTCCTGAGCTCAAGCGATCCTCCTGCCTCAGCCTCCCAAAGTGCTAGGATTACAGGCGTGAGCCACCGTGCCTGGCCTAGGCAAACGATTTCATCCCTCTGAGCCTGTTTCCTCCTCAAAGTGTGTTGAGAGGATTAAACAAGATAATGCACGCACTGCTCTTAGCATACATAATTAAGTGTTCCAGAACTGTTAGTGTTATTAATAGGATGTTGATGGTGGTGATGCTGATGGTGAAGATGATGCTGCTTCCCGCTCACTCACCCAGGTACTTGGCCCGCTCTTCTCGCCGCTCCTTTGCCAGCTTGTGTCTCTCTCCTGCCTTCTTCACATCTTAGCAGAGGGAACAAGAACACACAGGTCAAAAGGCTCTCTCCAAACAGGAGTCGGCCTCGGGGCTCTCCCTCCAGGCCTCACCTCCATCCTTTCCCCATCTTCTCTAGGGCAAAGGAGATTTCCCTCAGGCGATATCATCCAGGGCTAGGACCCTGAGCCAAGGGGTTTGGGCCCAGGACTGGGGATATCACACATACCTTGCTTGGTAGGAGGGCTGTCAGAGGTTGGCACTGTCGTTGGGGATGGCTGGCTGCTCCTTCGAGGAGGCCTGGCATCCCGTGGGCCTGTGGCTGGTGGGGTGGGTCCCCTGCTCTTTGCTTCTGTGGAGGGGGACTCTTCCTGTGGAGGGGCTGGCCTAGGCACAACCTGCCCTGGGGGGCTCTCTGGTTCCAATGGGATCTGCTTAGGGCTAGTGGCATTCTTCATGGCAGGAGGGGTATCCGGGGGAGTGTCGGGGACCAGGGCTGACATCGGTGGAGGTGGCGGGGAAGGGTCACCTTCTGGAGAAGGTCTTGGCTCTGGGGGCGTCCTGGCTACCACAGCTGAAAGACCAACACAAAAAGAGAAAAGGTCAGACTGTACATCTGGGCCATCAGTTCAACACATGGCTAGTTCCCTTGTCCAACTGACTTATTTATTCATTCATGTGTGTTTATTGAGTTCTTTCTATGTGCCAGGCCCTGTTCCAGATACTAATGATATAATGGTGAGAAAATAGCCATAATCCCTGTCTCTGCGGAGCTCACCCTCTGGTAGGGCAGACAGACAAATAGCTGGGCAATTATAGTAGAGAATAAATACCATGTCTGGGGGCAGCACAATAAAGATGGTTAACCTACACTTGGGGGGGTTCCTGAAGAAGTAACAACCAAGCTGAGATCCAAAGGGTGAGCTGGAGTTGGCAAAGAGAAGAGCATATGCCAAGGGGCAGAAAGGAGTAGGGTGTATTGGAAAAACCGAGAACGAGTTTGTAGCACTTACTGGTGCACCAAATGATAATGATCTATTTCCATGTCTGCCTCCCTCACCTTTCTGCTTTACCTCTGGGGCACAGTGTCCAACCCAAGGCCTGGTTCACAGAGGGGGCTAGTGCTGGGCACATGGGACTGGCGAAGAGGAAGGACATAAACATTGGCTCACGTGGGATGCTCTGTTGCTCAGATCCCGATGTGAGGGTTAACCAGCTATGTCTCCTTTGTAATCTTTTTTTCCCCTAGTCACACTCAGATTTCTTTTTTTTTTTTTGAGACAGAGTCTCACTGTGTTGCCCGGGCTAGAGTGTCGTGGCGTCAGCCTAGCTCACAGCAACCTCAAACTCCTGGGCTGAAGCGATCCTCCTGCCTCAGCCTCCCGAGTAGCTAGGACTACCGGCATGCGCCACCATGCCCGGCTAATTTTTTTCTCTATTTTTAGTTGTTTGGCTAATTTCTTTCTATTTTTAGTAGAGACGGGGTCTTGCTCTTGCTCAGACTGGGCTTGAACTCCTGAGCTCAAGCAATCCTCCCCCCTTGGCCTCCCAGAGTGCTAGGATTACAGGCGTGAGCCACTGCGCCCAGCAGAGATTTCTTCTTTTAGGACATGAATATTCCAAGAACCCTGTAAAAGACACCAAAGTGCCCAGTAAGGAAGCCACATGATTTGGCATATGCTCGTATGTGCTCATGTACATTGTGGGGCAGTTGAAAGACAGGCTTAGGAGTCAGTCACATGAGGGCCCAATTCTGATTTCACAAGCCTAAGACAGGACAAGCCTTACTTCCCCCGCAGGTAACCTTGGACAAGCCATTCAACCTCCCTCAGCCTCAGTTTTGATGTCTATAAAATGGGGATAATGGGCCCAAGCCAGGAAGGATGTCAGTAAAGTGCCTGGCACAATTTCCGTGCCAGCAAACAGCATTTCCCTCCCTTTTCCTATTGGTCTTATGAAGCCTCCAGGTCTCCCAGAGAGAATCATTTGCACGTTGAGCCCTGGTGTCATCTGCTGCTACCCTCCAGGCATCAAGGGGATCAGTGGGAACACAGCCACCAACAGGGCTTAGGGAGCAGGGCCTGGGTCTGTGGGAGGTACTTCCAAGGAAGCATTTTCCACTCTTACAGTTGCCTCCACCAAACTAGGTCCTCTGTTCTGGGAACTCTGGGTCTCTCAGGATGTGTAAACTCCCCATCCCCTGAGTGACAACGTGTACACGGAAGGGGCACCCCCAAGGGGCTGCTTTTGGAACTCTGGGCACCTTCTTCAGGGAGTCTAGTGATTGGTCTGGGCTCCACAGCCAGACTATTTGAATATGAATTCTGGCTTCCACACTAACTGTGTGACCTTGGGCCAGTTACAGACCCTCTCTGTGCATAGCTCCTCTTCTATAAAATGCCGATATTACCTATCTCACAGTATTGTGATGAGTGTTAGTTATAATAATAACCATTGACATATGTATTTAGTAAGAGCTTCTTATGTGCAAAGCATTTTTACATATACTAGTTTTAATCTTCACGGACAATACTTATGAAAGAGGTGCTATAAATATCTCTTTCATACAGATGAGGACAGTAAAGCAAAAAGAGGTTAAATGAAGTAATTTGAAGTCACTCAGCTCGTAAGTAAAGAAGCCTGGACTTGAACCCAGTGGCTGTCACCAGAGCCCATGCCCTTTTCCATTCCACCCCGGGCCTCTGTTGAAGGCAGTATGAGGGAACAGGTGTTACACAACGACACTATTGGAGGTTCACACTGTTACCCCTCATTCCTTCCCTGTCAGCTTCCTGGGCTCCAGGCAAGGGCCCCAGCTGAGGCCCTGTCTCCCTAGTGATGCCGCCCACTCTGCCAGCCCCTAGGCTCCATGACTGGCTACCCAGCTCTCCCCATACCAGCACAAGACGGCTCCCTGGTCACTGGCCCTCTAGTTCCCAGCCAGCTGCAAACTCCTTTCCTAACTCCAGTAGTCAACAAACTAGTGGTGGGCCGGGCGTCGTGGCTCACGCCTGTAATTCTAACACTCTGGGAGGCCAAGGCAGGAGGATTGCTTGAGCTCAGGGGTTCGAGACCAGCCTGAGCAAGAGCGAGGCCCCCGTCTCTACTATAAATAGAAAGAAATTAGCCAAACAACTAAAAAAATAGAAAAATTTAGCAGGGCACAGTGGCGCGTGCCTGTAGTCCCAGCTACTCGGGAGCCTGAGGCAGGAGGATCGCTTGAGCCCAGGAGTTTGAGGTTGCTGTGAGCTAGGCTGACACCACGGCACTCTAGCCCAGGCAAGAGAGTGAGATTCTGTCTCAAAAAAAAAAACACAAACAAACAAACTAGTAGCAACCATTTAGTGAGTGCTTACTTCCCCACTAACTGAGCAATGCAGCTTGCCTCCTCACAATTCTGAGAAGCAGAGATTGTTGTCCCCATTACACAAACGACACAATCGAGGCTCACCCAGCTAAGTGATTTGCCCAGGGTCAAAAAACTAGTATGTGGCAGACTCAGGATTTGAACACAAGACTGTCTGAGGCCAAAGCCTGGGCGTGTAAGTACTAAGCTTAAAGGCTGAGGGTGAGGTCTGCTTATTGCCATTCTCCAAGCATCTGTGCGTGCTGTAGGTGTTGCAAGGAAACCTGTAGGCGGCTATTTGTCTACACCTAGGCAAATCACACCCACCTGGCAAGACAGTGACTCCCCAGCTAGGTGCCGACCAGCCACGTGAAGGGAGGCTGGGAGTGGGCAGAGTGAGTCCTGGAGGGAACCTGCGCCTGGGCACCAGATGCAGTGGAGCAGGAAGGTCATTGGCTTCAGAGTCAGACAGGCCTGAGTGAGGATCCCAGCTCTGGGTGGGACCACGTGCAAGCTCTGAACCTGTCTAAGCCACGGATCCCTTACTGAGTGGTTGGGTCAGATGGTAAGTAAGCAGCACCTGCCCCAAAGAATTTGTTCGCTTCTCCCCATCACCGCCAGAAGGGCCCAGTTTGGCCAGGCCTTCGCCCCCACTGCTCTGCAACATCACTCTCCTCAAGGATACCAGCGACCTCCATGCTGCTAAACCCAGTAGCCAGTTTTTCAGGCCCCGTCTACTAGACCTATTAGCTACATTCGCCACAGTTGATCCCTGGGTGCTCCTTGAAATACTCCCTTCACTTGGCTTTGGAGACAACACATTCTCCTGGTTTTTTCTCCACCTTGCTGGCTGTGAATTCCCAGTCTTCTCCGCTGGCCCCACCTAACCTCTCCATGCTGGAGTGCCCCAGGGCTCAGTCGAGGACCTCGTCTCTTTTCTGTCCACACTCTCACTCCCTCAGTGACCTCATCCAGACTCACAGCTTTAAATGCCATCACTCTGCTGACGATAATCAAATTTGTGTCTCCAGCCCAGACCTCTCCCTTGAGGTCCAGTTTTGCCCCATGCAACTCCCTATTTGACACCCCTGGGTGTCTTACAGATGCCCCTAATTTAACATATCCCAAAGAGAGCTCCTGATCTTCCCCCAAAAGCCTACTCCTCCCTCAGTGTCCCCACCTCAGTTAATGGCAACCCCATCTTCCAGTGTCTCAGGCCTTGGAGTCATTTCAGACTCTTTTCTTACCTCATACTTCTCATTGGTAAACCCTTTTGGCTTTACCTTCAAACAATATCCCAAATTCAATCACTTCTCACTATCTCCACTCCTGTCACCTTGGTCAGAGCTTTACTCTTAGCCCCAGTAAAAGACTCCCTGCTCCCATTCTTCATCCCCTTTTGGTCCTTTCTCAACACAGCAGCCAGAGTGATTCTGTTTAAAAATAAGTCAGACCACGTCATCCCTCAGATAAAATCCTCCAAAGACTCCCCATCGCACAGGGAGGAAAAACCAAAGTCATCAGTCACAACGGCCTGCAAGCCTCCCCGGATCCTGAACTCCTGGACCTCATCTCCTCCTCTTCTCCCGTGTCCAGTCGTCCAGCCACTGCGCCTTCAGGGTGCCGAGCAGGCTCCTGCCTCAGGGCTCTGCACTGGCTGTCCCTCACCTGGGAATTCTCTGTCCCCAGACTCTACATGCCTCGTCCCCTCACCCCCTTCAGGTCTTTACTTCGGTGTCACTTCTCAAGGAAGCCTTCCCCCACCTCCTATTTAAAACTACAGACAGTTGAAGTCTCCCTCCCTTTTCCAACTGTTATTTTTTCTTTTCCAACTCTTATTTTTCTCCATAAGCATTAACACATTTTAACACTGTCTTCCACTGCTAGAATATAATCTCCATGAGGGCACGAATTTTTTTTTTTTTTTTTTTTGAGACAGAGTCTCACTGTGTTGCCCCAGCTAGAGTGCCGTGGTGTCAGCCTAGCTCACAGCAACCTCAAACTCCTGGGCTCAAGCGATCCTTCTGTCTCAGCCTCCCGAGTACCTGGGACTACAGGCACGCGCCACCATGCCCGGCTAATTTTTTCTATATATATTTTTAGCTGTACAATTAATTTCTTTCTATTTTTGGTAGAGACGGGGTCTCGTTCTTGCTGAGGCTGGTTTCGAACTCCTGAGCTCAAACAATCCGCCCGCCTCGGCCTCCCAGAGAGTTAGGATTACAGGT